CCCAAGCTGGAATTAAGATTGCCGGAAGAAATATCAACAACCTCTGATATGCAGATGATACCACTCTGATGGCAGAAAGTGAGGAGGAATTGAAGAACCTTGTAATGAGAGTGAAAGAGGAGAGTGCAAAAAACGGTCTGAAACTCAACATCAAAAAAACTAAGATCATGGCCACTGGTCCCATCACCTCCTGGGAAATAGAAGGGGAAGATATGGAGGCAGTGTCAAATTTTATTTTCCTGGGCTCCATGATCACTGCAGATGGAGACAGCAGCCCTGAAATTAAAAGGCGCCTTCTTCTTGGGAGGAAAGCGATGACAAATCTTGACAGCATCTTGAAAAGCAGAGACATCACCTTGCCAACAAAAGTCCGAATAGTCAAAGCTATGGTTTTTCCTGTCGTGATGTATGGAAGTGAGAGCTGGACCATAAAGAAAGCAGACTGCCGAAGAATTGATGCCTTTGAATTGTGGTGCTGGAGGAGGCTCCTGAGAATCCCCTGGACTGCAAGGAGAGCAAACCTATCAGTTCTAAAGGAAATCAACCCTGAGTGCTCACTGGAAGGACAGATCCTGAAGCTGAGGCTCCAGTACTTTGGCCATCTCATGAGAAGAAAAGAGTCCTTGGAAAAAACCCTGATGTTAGGAAGGTGTGACGGCAAGAGGAGAAGGGGACGACCGAGGATGAGATGGCTGGACAGTGTCTGCGAAGCAACCAACATGAACCTGACACAACTCCGGGAGGCAGTAGAAGACAGGAGGGCCTGGCGCGCTCTGGTCCATGGGGTCACGAAGAGTCGGACACGACTAAACGACTAAACACACACAGAGGATTAAAGCTAAACTCAAAGGGACGAGTGTAAGCTGAGAGCAAGCTGGATGATATAGTTTTTGATAATCAGAAAGTCCTCGGTCTTTCTGATTATTAAAATTACCCTGTTAGCCCTGGTTTCACTGCATCAAAACTTGCTGGCATAATGTTGGCAGATAAAAAGAAGAATTATGTTTAACTGCTTGGCAAAGCCAACATGAAACCTTAAAGATGAAGTTTTTTGCTAATCAAATTTTAAACTTGATTTCTGTAGTTTGAAACTGTTCTTTATACTGCTACAGACTATTTGAATAATGTATGTATCTTCTTTATTCTTTTTAGACCAAATGCTTTATTTGTGGAATAGGTAACGATTACTTTGACACAGTGCCACATGGTTTTGAAACACACACACTGCAGGAGCACAACTTGGCTAATTATCTGTAAGTACTTTAATGCCTTTAACATCACAAGAAAGTGAACAAATCAATGTTTTGATGTATAACCCTTCATTAACTCATGACATTGCCAACTGTCATATATACTACCTAGACTCAAAACAAGGTGCATTTGTGTTTCATGAAAACAAAAGCACCAAAAGATTACAGAAGAGGCTCCCTCTCCTTCCCATAGTTAATTTGCAAATTTTAAAGATAGAATTCTTTTCTGGACACCTAGATTTATCATCCAAGTTTCAAAATTGAAACAAAATTCTTTGGAAGGAGTATTAACTTGACAATCTGGAAAGCAATTACATCCTATACAAATAAACTTTTCAGACTTATTAATTAATTTACTTCAAAGAAATTTCACTAGAATGTATGTAGGTTTTATGTTTTCTGGATTACAGTGGTCCCTCACTTAGCGATGTTAATCCGTGCAGAAAAAATTGCTGCTAAGCGATAACATCACTAAGCGAAAATTAAAAGCCCATAGAAACGCATTAAAACACGATTAATGCATTCCTATAGGCTAAAAACCCACCTTTAAGCGAAGATCCTCCATAGAGCTGCCATTTGCAGTGCCTCTAAAGTGAGGTATCTGTGCCTGAAAACAGCGGGCGGCCATTTTGTTTACCCGGTGGCCATTTTGAAACCGCCAACCAGCTGGCCGAAAATGGGGGCTTTGTGATGATCGCTTCCCTGCGATCATTGCAAAGCAACTTTCCCCCTTAGGGACCATCACAAAGCGATTGCTTTTGCGATGGCAAAAAGTCCATCGCAAAGCGATTTCATCGCTATACGGAGCGATCGCTATGCGAGGCACCACTGTATGCTGAAATTAGATCAGAGCCTATTTTTATATGGAAGTTTGGGTATCAAAAGAATTGTCTTTAAGAAAGTAGGATGTTTTTCTCCAACTAAAGCTGTATGAAGGGAGAGTTGAAGGGAAGAGACAAAAACAGAGCTTGTTAATGGTAACTCATAACATTTCAGAAATTGTTATACATTGTCATTTTCATACACAGATGTCTCCTACTAATAACCAAATAGGTGCTTTTCACTCATTTTTAATCAATTTTCTGTATCTGCCAAAAGTTTCATTTTTTAAAATTTCTATCCAGTATATATCAAGAACAACTTTATGTTTCTTTATCTTAGATTTTTCCTGATGTATCTGATTAATAAAGATGAAACAGAACATACTGGACAGGTAAGTCAACAAGATTAAAGAATAAATATGCCTTGACATAATTGGATATAATGAAATGGGAAGAATGATTGTATCATACTTTAGATCTCTACTTGAATCTCTGTGTAACAGCTTCTTGAGAGCTTAATCACATTCCAGTATTTACTATTAGAAAGTAAATCTAATGGTAACATCTGTTAATAGTAACATTTGAAATGTCTTTTGTAAGTAGGCATATGTGCAAATAGAGGGACATGCATGCTACTTGTATATCTTTTGCTCTTAAAACTAGATAACCTGGTAACCTTATATTTTCTAGCCCTCATGGAGATTGACTAGATTGTATTTATAATCATGTCACTTCTAGTTAAGTATTTTAATGTATATTTTAAATATTTGCATTTACCCAGTGACAATCCAATGGTAAGCTGCAACTAAAGTAGGACCACTGAATTTATGAAATTTATGGAGTTGATTCACCAAATTCCCAGTGATTCAATGAGCCTACTCTAGTTGTGATTTATGACTGGATTTCACCTAATGTTTGCTTGCAAAAACATATTTCAGTATTAAAAACTGTGTTTCTATAATCCTTTCAAAATTCTTCACAATTGCAATAATAGTAGCAAATTCCAGATTAGCTGACAGAAGTTTTGAAGATCTGAAGCTTTTGTGTATGTATTACAGGAATCTTACGTATGGAAAATGTATCAGGAGCGATGCTGGGAATTCTTCCCGGCTGGTGATTGCTTTCGAAAGCAGTATGAAGACCAGCTTAACTAATGATTGTCAAGGACCTTCTCTTGAGAGATCATCCACAACTCCTCTAATTCCTTTGGGAACGTCCACCAGATTTCCCAGATCTGTTAAGCAGGGTGCTGCTGCGTGTGGAGCACTAAAGCTTTTTTTTTAAAAAAATGACTCAACTGTCCTTTTTTCTTCCGTGTTTGTTTTGAGAACAATGAGAACTTAATTCTGGGAAGAGAAGGGAGAAAAATGTCATACAACAAATCCCCATACATAACATGAACACATACATACCCAAAGAGACCTGAGATAGCTTCTCTCTCTCTCTCTCTCTCTCTCTCTCTCTCTCTCTCTCTCTCTCTTTCTGAGACTGCCTGATGATTCCCTTAACTAGGAGAACACACATGGGGCAATGTGATGATCACATTCATTCAATCTATTTATTTCATCATCCTGGAAGGAACTCTGTAGTTCACAGAGTGCTGTAAAGGATTGTTGTGGACACTTAGTTGTGGGGAAATAGTGCCTTACTATATGTAGGTTGAGCTATGCAGAAGATGAGTGCATGATGACATCTTATATTTTCCTTATTTGTCCTCTCCTCCCAGTTAATATTTATTTTGACTTCTAGAGGGACTTGAGAGGGATTTGGTTGTACACATCTTTTTAATAAGACAATGGCGTGTCTCAGGATACAAAGCAGTTCCCACACCACCCACCCACCTCCATCATTAAGCTAAAATTCACAGGTTTCTTCCTCTTTGTCTCTGACACTTATTTTGGTAATGCTCTGATGCAGCACTGCAACTTTATGAAATCTTTGTATGAAAACAAAAAGACTGCAGAAAAAAAAACTTTAAAAGGAATTATTTTGTTGCATGCTTATTATGCAAGTTTAAACAACAAAAAACCAACCTTCTGAAGCAAGTTGATCAACGTGAGGAAACATTCACAGTAATATTCATAGTAATAAAGTGTTGTGGGCTTTACTGTACATTTGGAACCAGTGTCATCAACCCTCTATGTATCTGTTATGAACTTGCCGATACTTTAGTTTTATTTGATTTTTCTGTTAACTTTTGAAATTCATTTCACCATTTGTGATCATTAGTGAAATTAAAGATTTTCTTAGTCAATTTTCAAAATCAAAAGTGAAGCAATATCCATTCAGGGATTTTATTAGTTGCATCATGAAACACCAATGATGTGTACATCACTCTGTTTTGAGTCCTTTTTGATTGTAATGCTAGTCTTTACAAATAAAAGGAGAGTTTTGGAATGGAAACTG